TAACTACGAAAAGACTTTATCAACTGAGTCATGAGGCACATTGTTTGGGATAGACACAATTGTTACAGCATTTAGAATGCTACACTTCTGTTAACACCCAAAATTATAGTGAATAAAATGATAATAATTTTTTACATGTTGCAATAATATGAATATAACAGATGTTGGGGTGAAAATAATTATATAGCCAAGGAATATTAATTTGTATATTGTAATTTGATATATTTATAATTGGAAATGTAAGACATGAAACGAAGAGGGGTCCCCAATAGATATTTGTTTTGACGCCGATGTGGGGCTTGATTCAGATGCAAAGGCTTAATGTGTGTGTTAATAGTAACTAAAAAGAGAAGCGTGAGGGCGGCGGCATAATTCTAATTACGCTAGGGTCATAACTGGAATCTAGCTAGGCATGCAGTTCTTTTCTGTCATCCACATGTGGGGTGTGACATTTCCTCGGAAATTCTCGGTAAGTGTTATTTACCAACTGTTTGCAGATTAATACCAGAAACTAACAAATGGGAACAAAAGGGAAAAGGAAATATTATCATAGATTGCTATAAATTAATATACAAAAGAAGTATGGTGACCTATTACTAATATAACACTTGTGACATAAAGCAGCGAACAGATTAAGTCACTTTTATCTCCTTATTTTGGGAATGAAATACATTTCCTCCTTTAGATTCTCTTTCGTATTGAATGATTTTGGTTTAGTGATTTTGGGTTTCACTTGCTTTCCATTTCATATTCCCACTTCTCCTTCAATTAATGAAAGCAGGAAAGAAAGAAATGAGATCAGTCTCTCACGTTCCTCTTTCAATTGCATTATTATTACATTCTCTATTCTCAAACCATTCCCATTTGGGGAAATCAAAGATAGGATTCCGGTGTTATTTTGAGAAATATTGAGAGGGAGAGAAAAAGAAAGAAAGATAGGATTTTCAATTACATAATAGACAAGTATTAATGCGATTGATCTTGGCAACAAAAATACAAGTCTCTCGTGTACCTTCAGCTGCTACTCCATGACATTGTTATATAGTACTTAATTTTTATTATGTGAAGCAGAAAGTTTAGACATTAAAGGATGTTTCATTTCAACAAATATTACCACGAGAGTTCCGAAAGAGACAATAAAGGGACTCACTTATATACGTGAGCTGCCAGTGCATACAATTGTAGTTAGAATGTGACTAGACACCATTCCTCTTGCCAAGGCAAAGGCAACTTGTTTGATCCTCTTTTCTCTCTGTTTCTATCTCTACAACTTGAGTATGACAATGTTAATCTTTTTGCTTGTCTATATCATAGATGCAAATGTATAATTTATGGTGATTGGAGGCTCCATCCAACCCAAAGAAATAGTCATATATAGATCACACTGGACCACTTGATGCTACTAGTCATAAACATAGCCAACTATCATGTAAGGAGCTAGATATCAGCGAGATTTTAATTGTACAGTGTTAAAATGCAGTGCAGCTAACTATATACGATCAACCATCAAAGGGACGCATGAATATTTATTTTTCAGATTTCGAGAAGCATAACTATGAGAAGGAAAAACATCTAAACCGTGTTTGCTTTTCGGATGCATTACACACTTTTGTTTCACTAGCTGTTCTCTGCATAATAAAAACCAAGAAAGTAGTGTGCTAAATAGTAACTATTCCCTCAGAGTTTTCAGTTACTTTCTCAAAACATGTTAAGCATAATAATTTCAAAGCATAAACAAACAAGTCACAAATTGAGGCCCCTAGCTTACTCTCTCATCTCTCCCAAAGATGCACACAAATAATGGATTTCTAACATTTTATTTTTCTTGGTTATATGTTCTATATGTTTTTTCACCTGGTCGTATGTCTATATGTACGAGGGTAACTGATTATTAATTGTGCTCAAATGCGTTTGACTAGGCTCTTTGCCTGACGATGTTCAACATCTCTCTCTCTCTCTCTCGTGTGTGTGTGTGTGTATATATATATCAATTAATTGAAAGGTTTTCATCATTTGGATTTTAAACAAGAATGAAATATAAAGCTATTCATAGGCTTGATTACTATTACTTCTAGAAACCATAAATCAAAGTCTACGTGGGTGAATTGTTCCCAAGAAGACTATATGCTTAGATATGTTGATGATGTACCCATTATTTTTAAATAATTTAAACACGGTCTTCTTGAATCAATGAGAAAAAGGTTATTGCCGTGTAAAACCTGACATAAGTGTGTGTCTGTGTCTAGGTGAATGTGTTAAAATTCTACATTAAATATCTGGCATGTATCATATATATCAAACACGTACACTGGTATATAATGTAAATTGATGACAAAGTTCCTAGCTAAAGGAAAACCATGTGCAGGAGAACAGCTTAATAATTAGTTTTACGTATATATTCATATGTTAGTTCAGCTCGCTTTGATTTCGATTTTCAGGTTCTCCCTCGAGTTCAGTGTTAATTTATCTATGTTCAGTAAATCTCGCAAACCTCCAGCTACTATATTCTTAAGACAACTGTTAATTAAGTGTTGGGGTGACACAAGTACATATTCAAAATATTTTTTCTTTTAATATTGGGGATGTCAAGCTGTAAATAAACTTAAATTCAGTGGTTGGGAAACTCTTTCCGTAATGGACTGAAATAGTAACTCCACAGTCCTAAATAAGGATTGATCAAGAAAAATTGAAAAAACAAGTCTTAAGACAAAAAAGAAATCAAATCATTTTAAGTTTACTCTTACAATTTTTTTTTCTTACAATATATATTACTTGATCATTTATATATGATCATATGTTTAAATTTATTCATTTTTTTTCTCACAAAAAATTCTTTTACTAGATATGTTCTTGGGAATAGATATATAAATAGTGTCCCAACCATAAATTTGTAATTGAATTTCAAAAATAATAATCTTTGTTACTTGATGGGCAGTTTTTGGTCGGTTTAATTTGAATATTAATTGTTGAAATTAGAGTACTGATTTTCAAAGTAGATTTTTTTCCCCCGAAAATAATATGACACTTCAACTCTCCGCAATTCACTGGTTTTAATAGTTGTTTTTCACGTTAATTCTTGATAACATGCATTTTGTTTTAAAAAATAGCAATTTCATTCGAATTAAATTACCATGTATTTTTTTTGTTTACCTAATGTTACCATGTATTCAATCACTAAACAACCACTTGAAAAGAGTCACGGACTCACGGGAGAAGTTTTTATGTGGCAAAGAAACTTAAAAGATGAAGAATGTAGTAAATACTAAAAATGAAATTTTATATATTGATATCTATATCTCTTATATATTAAGGAAATATATCAGGTAAAATCTAGCTGGAATTTCTTTAAACTATATGTTTAATCTTATATAAATAGTTAAACTTAATTTTTTACTTAAATAAAATCCAAACTTAAATATATAAATTATATAGCTCTTCTTATCTGTCACTTTCATTATTGTCCTTAAGAGTAATAGTTAAAGAATTAATAGTAAATTTTTTGGGTCATAAATTTAACATTTAGTGTTACTAATATATTTCTGTTATGTTTTTTAAGAAAAAAATATATGAATTCCTTAATAATTTTTCTTAAACAGTGATTAATAAAATCATACGGACACATAATTGCTGAAAATTTGTAAAGCAATTATTAACCTTATTAAGTATTCAGTAATAAATAATTTTTTTTATTACCAAATGTATAGATTACTTTGGGAAATAAGTAAATGACCTTACATATATTGCTAAATAACAATTAGACACAATTAGTATACATCGTGTCCCTTAAGAATGTTAACAGAGACTCGATTCTTGTTCGTATATATGTATTAAAAAAGAAAAAATTACTTCAATAATATTTATGTTTTTAAAAAATAGTTTCTACCTTTCAGTTAAGAGTTTTATTATTAAGGAACAAAGGGATTAGGGCAAACCCATACCTAGCCTCTTTGTGTTTGAAGGTATTAGTTATTCAGGGTGTGAGGCACCCTGAATAATAGAGAAAAAGTTTACAAATGCATTAAAGTTTTATTAGGTTTGATTAATCGTTGAAAAATTAAGATGTGAATAAAAGAAAATTATACGTGAACCAACATATTGTATATGCATATAAACTTAAGAATGTGAAAAAGAAATGGTAGTAAGTAAATAACAAAAATGATGATATTTGAAACTAGCGCGTGTACGTGGACCGGGGGGGGGGGGGGGAGGAGATTAGTAATGGAGAGAAAAACTGGAATAACATTAAAAGCTAGGGCAAAAGGTCATGATGTGGGGTTATAGTAAAGGGTTATGAGAAGGGAACTAGGGTGTTGAAGTTTTGAAGGAATAGTTATTGGTGTGGAAGAGATAGATATAATATTCATTTATTGTTATTACCTCTCTCACATTTGTTTTTACTAATGTTGATTGTTTAGGTCACAGAGGGAGTAACGAAAGAGAGAAAAGGAAGGGGCGGAAGGTAAGGGCAGTAGAGGTTATATATTATACACACAGTGGCAGGAGAGCGCCTGCAGGACAGGGTGGTCTCTTTTCATTCTCTCTTAGTTTAGCTATTTGCTTTTCCTTTCCTTACCTTACGCCCGGGGACCATTCACAACACACTCAATCAATGGCACTAAAAGTCAAAAAATTAAGTGTACACTCTATCCTCTCTCCTCTACTATATACCATTGCCATTTCCTGTTACATCTAGCTAGCCATAGATAAGCCCGTACCCCATGTATATTATATATTATATGAGCCATAAAATAAATAAATACATATAGATACTTTCATGCTTTTTATTTGGTAATAAAATAAGGGTGCAATGCAAATTTAACACATATATATATGTAACACGGTTAAGTTAAGCTCGTTGCTTCTGGAACAACTGGCCTTTTGGTCTCAAGCCGGAAGCATTAGTATTGTACAGATTATACCAAATATGATGAAAACGACAAGTTGCTCACATGACCACAATAGGCACATTATTCATGGCCCCCACGTAAGTGTAGTAATCCTCTATCTACCTTTCTCTCTCTCTCTCTCTCTATCCTCGACGAATAAAACTGGGTTGGAAGAAAATTTTTGCTTCTTTTCCTAGTTGTAAAGAACCTTCCTGCGAGGTAACTATACATAAGCTAAAATCCACCTCTCTCTCACGCTTGATCTAACTCCTCATATTATGCTTTGTAGGTCAACAATAACAATAACTTGACCCCGCTTTGAATCCTCCATTCCATGCCTTGTCTTTCTTTAGGGTTTGAAGGCTGGTGGTCAAATATGAAGGCACCGACTGTTTTAGTTTTTGTTTACTAAGATCCTGTTTTTGTTTTTCTTTAGAGCCTCAGCAATCTGGGTAAACTATCTTCCTCATGCTAGCTAGAGCTATTTGTTGGCAAGGTTTTATTTGACCTTGTCATCTATTTAATTCTTTTTAATTCACACCCACTTTTTTCTCAAACTTTTCCGTTTCTTGTCATATTTTATTTTATTTATTTTTGCCTTCCTGCCCTCTTCCTCCATTCGATCGTTTTATTCTAATCATTTCATTTTTTTTTATTATTATTCTTTTCCTTCCTTCCCATTGTTTTTGCTGAGATCCAGAGGTTATTATTAACAGAATTGAAGGTAGGTCAGGCATAATTCCATGGAGTTGATGCAAGAAGTTAAAGGTAATTATTCGGATAGCAGGGAAGAAGAGGAGGAAGAGGAAGCAGCAGAGATCATCACAATCGCAAGAGAAGCAGAAAGCAGCAGTAAGCAGCACTATTACCTTACCCCTTTTCTTCTCCATCTACTCTACAACACCTCTTTCTAATTATCTCATCATCATCATCATCTTCATGTGATAAATATTCCCCACTCTCACACCATTAAAATACATCCATGGGGATGCTTCATCTCCAGATGCCTCTAACAATTCACTACCACCTGGCCATGGATTAGGGTTACACCACCAAGATGCAGCAGCAGCATCCAATTTCAGAAAGCAGCTAGACTTGATGGACCTGTCGCTGGGGAGCAACAAGGAAGAGGAAGAAGAAGAAGCCAATCTGCAACAAGGAGCAGGAGGAGGAGTTGCCCATCATCATCAACAGCATCAACATCATCATCATCATCATAACGCACATGCCCATGCCACTTGTTCATCCTCGAACGCAAAAGAGGTGGTGGAGAAAGAGCACATGTTTGACAAAGTGGTGACACCGAGCGATGTAGGGAAGCTGAACAGGCTGGTGATACCAAAGCAGCATGCAGAGAAGTACTTCCCCCTCGACTCCTCCTCAAACGAGAAGGGGTTACTCCTCAATTTCGAAGACCGAAACGGAAAGGTGTGGCGGTTCAGGTATTCCTATTGGAACAGCAGCCAGAGCTATGTGATGACAAAGGGGTGGAGCCGTTTTGTGAAGGAGAAGAAGCTCGACGCCGGTGACATCGTCTCCTTCCAACGCGGCCTCGGAGATTTGTATAGACATAGGTTGTACATAGACTGGAGGCGAAGACCTGATCATGCCTCTGACCCTTCACACTCCCCTTTGTTTCTTCCCTCTATCAGATGGGGTCCTAGATTCTACTCTCTCCCTTCTCAGCCCCCTATCATTCCACCTCGCTACCATGATCATTTCCACCACCTCAATTACAACAACACCTTCACTTTTCAGCAGCAGCAGCAGCAGCACCAGCACCAGCACTACCTTGGTGCTTCTCATCACAACCACTATGGTGAGCTCAATTCGGGATCTGGGTCGCTCTATTACCTGAGGTCCTCCATGTCAACGGGCGCTGATCAAAACTTGCCTGAGAGAGGGAACAACATTGTCCCCATGATCATTGATTCTGTTCCCGTTGCTCATCACCATCACCATGGCCATGGGGGCATCATGAGTGGCGCTGCTACTGCTAGTGGTAATAGTAATACTCCAACTGGTGGAAAACGGCTGAGGTTATTTGGGGTGAACATGGAATGTGCTTCTTCGGCAGATGATTCAAAAGGCTTGTCCTCGGCTTCGGCATCACATGTGGCAGTGCCTAATTCATCACTTCCCTCTTCTTCTCTTCAGCGCTTGAGGGTGTCCCATGAAGACCCACTTTCTTCTTCGGCCAGGTTTGGGGATCAGAGAGGCGGTACTAATTCCATGTTTGATTTGGATCCATCTTTGCAATATCGGCAGTGATCAAATAAATTAAACAAGAGCCACAAATAATGAACGAAGAAGATTTAGTTTCCAAGTTAGTTGGGCTAGCTACGCTCTCTTTTGCAGAATTTTTATTTAGTTTCTTTTTCCTATTTCACTCATCATCGGCTACAAAGGAAAGAGCTCCCAAACTTTCTTTCTATTCTTCTTCTTCTCCTTCTTTTAATCAGTATTTAGTATAAATTAGCATTTGAACTTGTTGGTGCGTTTTAAACTGCTGAAAGCGTTAATTAGCTGGGGATTCGAGTCTTGAAGAAATGATAAATCGTTTCACGACCGAGAGACCGAATGAAATCTCCGTTAGACCTTTCAATTGTGTATAATACAATACGAATATATTATATTTATAATTTATGATAATATATAAATGGTTTCTGTCCCCCTTTTTTATTGCATCGATATATACTGTACTCTCTCTCTTTCCGTTCACTGCATTTAATGATACACAGAAAAGCTTGTTGCTTTCTTCTATCCTCTAATGTTTCTGTTAGCCTTGTTGGCTTGATGCCGTTCACAACACTGCTGCTTCTGCTGCTGCTTAGTTAGGCATTTTCGCTTTGCAGATAGGGAGCAGAAAGTTGTACAGCTGTAAAATGGTGATTTTTTTCTGTTCTTATTCAAGCTCCATCCACTTCCATTACTTTTTCTATTTACTATGCCATTGCTTTATATAACATTTATTGATGAATAGTTACTCCTTCCCCCCCCCCCCCCCCCCCCTTCTCTTTTGTATATCCCCTATCAACTTTCTTGTCTTCTCTCGCAGTCGCCTTCTTGTCTGGATCAGCACTGCTCACAAACGTGTTTTTAGATAAATAGGAGTGCACATGTGGAGATTTCCCCACCTTCTCCCAGGGTTTAAAGGGTAAGTAGTATCCTAATTCTTCTCATACTAATTTTTCATAGTAATTATTACTTGCTGCAGGATTCGATGATTTGTTTCTGATCTCTGATGCTTATAATAATTGTCGAGATACAATTTATTTGTCCTAAGGACTTCTCTTACACTATTCTCTCTGCACTTAGATTCTTCTTTTGATGTTTAATTAGTTTGCTAGTCTTGATCAGCACAGTCGTCTTACTGTTAGAATTAACAAGTCACTGGTTAGCTAAATACAATTTTTGGATTTTGCCTTAGTCATTGCAACAATTACAGCTAACACTTTTGGACAAGCATGGAATCAAGGAGCTTACTTTAGACTTTAGGGAGTGGATCAATTATTAGCTTATCATTTATCAACTACAGTGGAAGTGCGATAATAATAATAATTAGTTTTTTTTCCCTTGTGTAGAACGTGATATCCTGAGATGTATAGCCTATTACTTTGAATTTTTCATGAGGATTTGTATGAATCTGGTTAACCACATTTAATGCCAACTTGATGCATTTTTCTTTCAGGTTTTTATATTATAGGACACACGTACATATACACATTTCATTGTATACAATTGATTCATGCATATTTTCATCTTTTAAATTTGCTGTTAGAGATTGTTGGAAATTAGTTAAAGTCACTCAGGTTTGAATATTAACCTCGCATTTATTACAAATAGACTGTTCATAGCATAAAAAGGAGAGATTAAACGGAATGTTAGGTTCTCACAGTGCAATATTGAAAGCAAAAGTAATATAGAAGACTGTAAGATCCACAGTAAGCATGACAGATATAGAGGAGTAGGACTGTTCTTTAATTTGCTACACACACTTGAATGTGGAGCTTTTCTGTTGAAATTGTAGGAGTATCTCAGATTCTTCGGTAGTGTCAATATCCATGAACTCAAATCGAAACTGCTGGAAAATAAAGCATGAAAGAGATTAAGAATTATACTTTTTTTGTCTCGAATAAGCGAATTTAATATGCTTCGAATCCAACAAAGCAAGAAAAATCATTAAGATAAAATATCGGCGCCATAAAATGATCTAATTCCCTTTTCTTTTTTATTCTTTTTTAACCCTTTTGTTTGTTTCACATATTCTCCTATTGTCCTAGCTAGGTCATGATCTTAACCATTCAGATTAAGGAAATTAAATGGCATAAAAAAAGAATGGCACAATATATAAAGGTTTTTTATTTGGTTATGTTCTATATATTTTGCAAATATGATCTTTGGAACACGTGGTACGACTATTTATACGTTTTTTATACAGTACTTACATGCATGAAACTCATTCACTATTGTCTAGTACTTTGCTGTGTGTGTTCACTTGTCAAAAGTTTGTATAGTTTTCTTACATGCTTGAAACGCATACACATAAACCTTCTACATGTGAAAAGTTTGTACACTTTTCTTCTTTTTTTTATCAGCAAAAATGTATAACTATACTTAGGCATGGAACAAGTGAGTATTTATGTAATATAGTGTTTATTATGTAGCCTATTTTCAAGTACAATCAATTATAAATGGAGTTTTGACAAGATTAAGCGTTTATTTTAGAGAACGTTCATAACTCCCGTTTTATTGCAATTAAAGAATAATAGCTTTAAGACGTGTGTTTCTTTGTTGAAAACGAAAAGATAAACAAGTCATTTTTTCAAGTAAATGGAGCTTTAATTGATCCATACAAACAAGCCTATACCCAAGTTAATTGTTAAATTTATAAACTTGTAAAATGCTAAGTGGAAGTAATAAATGAATTATGGTATAAAGTAACATTCAATGTATTTTTGTTAATTAAAACTTCTATTTTTTACCATTGCCACTAGAAAAAAGTTATTAACAAACAATCTATCATCTTGTTGAATTAGTATTTGTTAAGGTAATTTTTGTTTAATAATTATTAAATTAGTAGTATATACTTTGTGAGTTTATACGAATAATATGTTATATTAATAAAAAATTTAATTGGGATAAAAATTAATATGTAAGTTCCCAATTTCTTTATTGATAATTTAATTTATGATAATTAAATAAAGTTGTTATTAACGAAGATAATCATAATATTTAATGTTTTTTTATTAATAAATGATATTTTTTGTAACAGTAGTTGAAGAATAAAAAATAGTGGGATTCTGTATGTGCAGAGTTAATGAACATAATATACATTTAGATTGTTTACTAACAATGATGAAGGTTGTTAGTGTTTTGTCCCCGAAATTCAATGAGAGGCAATGTTTGTCTCATATATTGTGGTACTCTTTTATGTTAATTACGTTCATTTACTTTCCTAATAATGTTTGTGACTTCATAGGTTTATGCAGAAGCAAGCGGCAAAATAAAAGCACCACCGAACCAGAAGTGCGCAACCGACGATAAATTAAAGATCTATCGCTCGTCATTTGCGATTTAGAAATATTTAGCGAAGCAGGTACGTACATTGGCCATTGGCCTTTTCTTCTGGGAGAAGGGTTGTCCGGTCATTGATATTTAAGTTATCAAATTATATATTGCACTCTCATCTGTAATTGCGGCCCTTCAGTATTATGTGCAGTCTAAAATTTAATACCAAATTAAAATGAATATTTACTCATTCATAACAGAAATTGTATATAATTAATCACATAAATAAATAGTTTGGATGTAGTTAGCATCATTTTTCAATGAAGCAATCTAATTTTCTTTGTGCAGGTTAGAATATGTGCAACTGCCCTTCAAATTAACCTCACTCTAGTGGCATTTACTTTCCCTGAACCAGTCATAGGTATTACCTCTTATCTTTTGCACTGCATACAAGTCATAAGTATGTTTAATTAATGCGAAAATTCCTCTATATAAAGGTCACCGTAATATCTTTGGAGAAAAAGAGCATCGAAGAACCATAAACTTTATTTTAAAAAACAGTTGAGAACTTCAATTCAGCGTAAATTCATACCAATTCAAGGTGTAAATAGGTTAATATTGAATTTAGATGATTGCTTAAGTCACTTTTTTATGAATACGAGCGGTGCGCGAAATGTCATGTATATTCTACATTATGTGTTGGTGTTTGTGCTTCCTCGTGAATCTCAGATGCCATAATATAGTTAATTCTAGAGCATTCATCGTAAAGTTGGTTTAGTGATAAAAGATCTTATCCATGAAAATTTCTCCACTTCCCTAATCCAATAAAGAAAAAAAAATAGGGAATATCAGCGTAATTAGTTAGGCTCTAGAATGCTAGTACTCGTGGCGTTCAAAAAATTACAATATGAAAGTTATGACAATGCACATTTTATTTGTAATCATTGGCTTGGTTGAATTTATTTGAGAAGAAAAAAAGCGCCAAGCAAAATCTAAAACCAAAAACAAGTTATAATCACTCTGTTCTGTTTTCGTTTTTTCTCATTTTATTTTATTTTTATATATAAATTTCATTTTTATTTAACTGTAAATTATGTTTTCTATTTTCATGTAGAGAATATGAAAGCAAAAGTTTATTAAAATTAATCAGAATTTTGTTAACGTGTTCAAAGCATATGTTAATATATTTTTTGCTAGTAAGAGCGTAGGCAATAAAATTTCATAATTTAGTACATTTTACCCTTTTAACATATATTTATTTGTTATTACTTTTATTGACTTTTTTAAACGACTTTTGATATTAAACTCAAGCAATACTGAACTGAAACTTACTTAGTATATGCTGTTATAGCTTACCTTTGATTTATTATAGATACTGAAGCCTGAAGTTTGAAGTTTAAAAGATAGATTACAATTTAAATTAATATACATGATATTGATGTATTTTGCTTTATATTTATTTACATGCATGCATGAGCAATTTCACATTTAAAGAAATTTTTTTATGGAACTTAAATTCATGTGAATAACTATTTTTTTTTTAATTTAGTCTTTCTTAATGTCACATCATTATTTTATTTTATTTTAAAAATTCAATTTCTTTTAAAATCAATTATACAATATTTTGGCTAGCGGCTTCGTAAGATTAAACGACATGGATAGTACTTTTTTTTTTTAATATTTTGGCTTGTATTAAAATTAATCCATCAACCTATCCCATTTCAAATTTAAATAAATATAATTTTTTTAGAAAATACTGTGTCTTTAAGACGTTGATAAAAAAAATTAAAAGCTTATTATATAAAAAATTAATATATTTTTCATATTTTAATATATTTAAATGTATTTTTTAACTAATTATTTTAATATACTATTAACAAGGCAAATGGTACATCATAGCAAAAACCTAAAAAATTGTCATAAAATTATAGTTGCCGCCATGGTGGATTATGACAGAATCATGGCGACTATAATAAATATATAAAAAAATATTATATATAGGTAATAAAAATAAAAATAAATTAACTCAAAACACATGTAGCTTTACCCATAATTCAATACAAAATAAATATTTTTAAATTTTTTGTTATGTTA